ACGACCTAATGGTAAGAACTCTTGATATACAACGCCACGATAATCAAAAGAAAACAGTGAGCAAAACTCTGACATTTGATCAAACTTGACGTAATTTTTCGGTCTTGGCTCTTTTGGAGTCTTCCATTGGGACGATTGGGCTTTAGTTTCGACGTCATAACCATAAATCCATGATTCATCACCAGTCCTAACTCTTTTGAGCATATCAGGATCATCATTAACGTCATTTAACAGCTCTTGAGCGATGCTCCGTCGACGGTCCTTTTGTTTAAAATTAAGCAGTTTCCCAACAAATTATGCTGCTACACGTTTCATGCCCAAAACTTCAAAAAAAAATTGCATGGGACGAGCCAATAGAGACACCGACGTCTTCAGCCACTTCTCTAATAGTGATTCGACGATTTTTTAACACTATTTGTTGCACTTCTTCAACACTTTCATCAGTTATTGAAGTTCTGGAGCGTCCAGAGCGAGGTTCGTCGTTGGTGCCTTCTCGGCCATCTTGAAAAAGGTAAAACAACTTGTAAACATTTTTTTTGACTTAAAGTAGACTCACCTTATGCCATTGTAAAAATTTCAAGTTTTTGGAGCACTTAATTCCATTTTTTACACAAAATTTTATGCAAACTTTTTGATTCATTGTGTGGCGGGGAATTTCTGGGGGTCTCAGTCGTGCACTCCGAGCAGTTCCGCCACAAGGCCTAATTGGCCCTTTTCCACCGACTAATAAGGGCTCCACACCGCCGTTCCTAAATTACGGCGATCGTCAGACGTAGGGCCTGAAAATCGCGGAGTACTTCTGTTTGCCCACGGTGCGACTGCGCAGAGTGGGCAGGTTGACGTCGTCAGAGTGATTTCCTTCTATTAGGCTGACGGTGCCCAACAATTGTCGATTTAATTCGTCCTCTCACGTCCTCGAAATGCCTGCAGCTCAGGATACGATTCCTCGTCTCGGATCGGAGATTCGTTCGATTTCGTGCGTAAGTTACACCGGAATCAGAAATGCGAACAAAAGAATCCTCGCTATCGACCATCCGTGGCTGAAAATAATATCAGCATGCAGGAAAGGAAAGGTTAACGAGGCATAAATATAGAAAATCTATCACACTTGACTTCCCTTTATTCTGAGACTAAACTACAGGTACCATCGGAATGGCGGATGGTCAGCGCCACTTGACACGATTTAATGCGCGGCGGAACAGATCCACACATCCCGGCGAATCAAATATACGACGGTCTAATACGCTCATTTCCCGAATTCGTAACTATAATTCACTCCACCTCAATAACTAAATTCCTTTTCAATCCTATCACTCACGCTAATTCGAAAAATGGCGGGTGGTCAGCGCGACTCGATCGGAGCACTATATTCCCGGCGTTGACGGATCCACGCACCGCGACGAGATTATTCGCACAAGAAAATCACACACCGCACTTCGCAATTAGTATTAGTGAGTGGCACTTTGCCTATTTACAGATTACTGCTGAAGAAACTCGGTAAACTCGAAGTTTTTCAGCGAATCCGGGAAATTGCTTCCTATCGGTTTAGCGATCAGCGGCAAAATGGACGAAAAACGGCTTTTCGCAGTCAAAGATCATTTTTCATCTCCTCTTTCCGAGAAGAAATCCTATTATTGGCCGATATGCTAATTCGGATATCGGTAGCGCCCTCCGAATATTTCGTCATTGGTCAATATATTAAATTAGAAAATAACAGCGCCCTCATTTTATCTCCTACTTTTGTCGCTATTTACCCTCTCTCACCCCCCCCCCCCACTAAGTCGGCCAGCATTGATTGATGAGAAAGATCTACCCATACTCCTATTTATTTTTCGTTGCGGACGGAAATCAAATTTTATTCTAATTCACTTATTGGTCGTGACGTCACCGGCGAGTTTCGTCAGAGTTTCTAATTTCATCAATCAATTATCAATTTAATTTGTCAAATTGTTTGTCGCTTATTAATACACTTAAGGGATTATAGCGGCCGGATACAATTATTTTCTAATTTTTATTTTAGTATGTTCCATGTTCTAAGTCGCATCGCTAGATATTTTGCAATGATAAAATAACTATAAGTCGGTTTTATCTTTGTAGCGCCCTCATCATCGTATCTGCATTTGAATTAGTATGGTATTCATTCTAGTTGGCTCGCTTTCATATGGTCTGTCTTACTCGCTCTCGCTTAGTCTATATCGCTCTTCAAGATGGCCGCCCTCGCTCCCGCGTGTCAACCTCGTGCTCTGTTGCCGGTCTCCAGAGTGCCTCCTGGAACGCTCCTCTCCAGTCGTGTGGTATAAGCGTGTACCCGGGTGTTATGAGTGTGTGTCTCCGGGTGTTGTCAATGATCGGCAGCAGTGTTTGTGTGTATGGTGCTCAGGATGTCGCCGATGGTGCGCAGCAGCCTGACACAGCTGATTGCCGGCTGCCACTTCATCGACAATTTTCTGGTCACCCCAGGTGTGCCAGCGTCTTCAGAGTGTCCGTATTAGTATCTGGGAGTGTAATGGATCTGCATATAACGCTAACATGCATTTTCACTGCATTTCCCAGTCAAGTTTCTGTATTTTTCTTTTTAGCCGGCAACACGTGGTCGGGAGTGTATGTGTGCGTGCGCTCTCTTTTCCTCGTCATACGCTCCGTTTTTTAATCATCCGTCGGATCGCGTTCTTCGACTTGTAGCGTCGTTTTCTCGGGTATGGGAGGCGGATATGAAAAAAAATTAGTGTCCGGATTAGGGCACGCGTAGGTCATAATTATCCGGCTGGTTACGGGGCGGCAAGGGACAGGGATGGCTTTTTGAGATGTTGCAAATAGTGCAATACTCTTAGGCAAAACCTTGTAATGTACCGCATTACAATTGTTTTCGACAGCAGAAAATCACCGAGCACAAACAACATGTCTAACGTTTCTGTCTCGCAAAAAAAAAATAAACATACAAAGTGGCTGAAATTATGAGCTTATGTGAGGGACATGTATACCAATATAATTAAAAAAAATATTGATGATCAAATCTACTTAGCCCGCCCAATTTAAAAATTCACCTTACTTTTTGAACACACGTCGTATATAAAGATTTTTCTACACTTCATGTAACAATTACCATTTACAGCAATCCATTATTATTAAAAGAAAAAGAATGGATTAATTATATAGAAAAATTAAGTAAAGAGTTTGTGAAAAAATATCAAAAATTATATGGGAAAAGATACGTATCACACAACGGACACAATTTTCTACACTTGACTGATGTTCGCCGTTATGGAAAACTCAACAATTTTTCTATTTTGAGATTTGAAAATATCATGGCACAGATAAAAAGATACAAAAAGAGGCAATGACTATGAAGTTGTCTTAGACATTGGGCATGTATACACGTACATCTATTCCATATTCATCATCAATCCTTGGAACTCATGTTGTGAGTAGGGATCTTACAATTATTCGGTTTGAGGTGTACCCGGGTAGTCGGTTATTCGGTTACTCGAAATCGGTGAACCGGTTAACCGAATAGTGCGGTTTTCCGGTTGCAGTTAACCGGTTAACCGAATAGTGCGGTTTTCCGGTTGCAGTTAACCGGTTAACCGAATAATGCGGTTTTCCGGTTGCAGTTAACCGGTTAACCGAATAATGCGATTTTTCGGTTGCGGTTAACCGGTTAAATAAAATTTCAAAATAATTTGCGATAAAGAAATAGTAAGGTTATCGACTTAGTTTTTTCGTGAATTGCGTTTTTGTTTTCTGTTACGCGTGCGAAAAGTGTGCAACAAAGGGATAAATGGGTGTGTCGCGATAGCTAGCACATTTCACGCTTGCCAGTGTGAGATTAGGGCGAGCAAACAATCAAATTTGTCATTTTTCGGCGTGCGGAGATTTTTGAGTTTGTGTGCAAAGTGAGTAGGAGAGCGTACATACATATCTTCGATATCGCAACATTAATCACGAGATGCAAAGAAAGACGAGAAAGGGAGAAACTCAAGAAAAAGGATTTTCTTCTTTCCTTATCTTTCTAGTTTTCGTGAAACCACGTTACATACACCGCATTTCATTTTCGTATTCTCGTCGTACAGTTCAACGTTAACGCGAAGGAGAGTGAGTGTAAAAGGGAGCATTGTGATTGCAGGTTGGTGCCGGTTAGTTGTGCGTATCACATTACATCAGAGTCAATTCGAGTGAAGCGTCGTTATTACAGATTCGAAGGCGAGCCCATGAAATGAATGACCTAGTGCATGAAACTACTATACGCGCTCTTTACACCCTGGTAAAGTTCGCTTTAAACACCTCGAGACATACCTATTGCATAATTGTATTACACAAACTAAAAACTACGATATGCTCCATTCACACCCTGAAGAAGGTGATCCTGGACACCTGGACACTCACCTAATGAGTGTCCAGAGTGACCTGTACCCTGTAGACTCCGGGAATGGTCACTCTACGCACCAGGAAACTGATCAAGTTGTACATCGATAGTTAGCCCGCCAGCGGCCTGCTAGCAGGGAGCTAGCAGGCTGCTGGCGGCCCGCTGGTTTTGACTGGGATTACTGTCAAAAAATAAGTATTGTACATTGATTAATCATCATTTTTTATTTTATACAATATCTCTTTTTATACAATATCTTTTAATTGTCTTTGCAAAGCGTAAATATAAATTTTTATAATAATTATAATTATCTTTTCAAGTAACATTTTCACACATTATGTACATTAACAAAATAGTTTTACATTGTGATTAATACAATGTCTATTATAATATGTAAATTATTAATAAAAAATTAATAAGTAAGACAAAATAACGTAGAACAAAACAATATATATATAATGTAGAAGAAGAAAATTATACATATTGTAGAAACAAACGTATTATTGTAACATAATAATTGTAACATAATAATACAAAACAATGAATACGTAACATCAAGTACTTATATTAACTTATCGGTCTGCCATGAAATGTCGATTTTGGTATAAAAATGTTAATAAATTAACATTATTAGGACCTAGACAGTTTCTATTCGGAGTGACAATATTTCCAGCAGAGGAAAAAGTCCTTTCTGACGCTGCTGAAGTTGCTGGAACTGATAAAAACTGTAAGGCCAATTTGAAAATCAGTGAATACTTATCAGAATGATTTTTCCACCATTGTAGTGGATCCAAATTTCTTCCTAACTCTGGTTCTGCCATGTACATTTGTAGTTGACTCTGCCAATTACTTGCAGGTATTTCACTTCCAAAAAGAAAATCAAAGGCAGATGATTTTGGAACCGGTGAATTAGTGTCTTCCGTATCCATAGGTTCACCTACATTCAAGAGTCCTTTGACGTAATCAACTACTTCTTGTTTCATTTCGGCACTCTCACAGGATAAAGACTTATGCCTTGGATCAAAAAATTGAGATATGTGCATAATATCTATTTCAAAGTCGTTTTCTTCAAACCGAAATCGCCGTTTTAACGAAGAGATTGCTTCTTTTTTAAACTTTTTTGAAACAGCATTATCTTCTGGTGTTGTAGCTAAATGATTAGAGATTATTGAGTGAATAACTGGGCGAACAACAGAAATAGTAACATCTGTTTGGCTACAAAAAATAGTCGTTGTCACTTGAAAGGCTTTTAACGTAACCAATAATTTCTCCATGTCGACCCAGTTACTCTCAGTAATTTCTAGCTTTTGTGCAACATCTCTTTTTGTTACTTGTCTGTCTGCTAATACTGCAGAGATCGGAGTTTTGTTTTGTACTAAACTTTCAAACATGAAATATTTAGAATCCCAACGAGTATTACAACTTTGAATCAATTTTTCCTTCTTCATATCCATTTGAATTTGGCGTTGAGCTAAAGAATTGCTGGCGATATTCGATCTCCGAAAATGTGAAACAACTGCTTGTCCTTTAGATGTCAAAGATTCATAATCTGGTACAGCTGCAAAGCAATCGTGTACAACTAATTGTAGTAAATGGGCATTACATTTTACACTATACGGTATTTTAGGTAGCAGATTACAAGCAGCAATAATTGCTGATGCACTATCATGAACAATAGCTTCCACTTTATTCTCTAAGTCCCAATCCTTGATAACGGTTTTTAGTTCATTGGAAATGTTGAGAGCAGTTGGTCTTGCAAAAAGGACTTCGTTACAAAGCGTTGCATGATGCATTTTGCAGTTTTCATCCAGATATTGCGCCTCGACTGAAAGATAGCTATTTTGTGCCCTTGATGACCACTCATCAGTTGTCAAAGATACTTTTTGCGCTTTGCTTAAGTCTTTTTTAATTTTCAACTTAACTTCCTCAAAATAGCATTCTAACCGTCGAAGTATTGTCTTTTCGCAAGGCACTTTGTAACCTGGTTCTAACACATCCATAAAATCTCTAAAACCAGATGTTGAGACTAAAGAGATGGGAAGAAGATTAGTGGCAATTAATTTTGCAGTTGCTTCGGTTATAACCTCTTGACGTTGAGCAGAGCATACACCTGACCCATCATTTCGTCTCTGTCGCTTTCGCGGGATGTGATATTCTTGAGATTCAGTAAACTGTGACGGAGAATTTCGGCTCGCCGACTTCTCTTTCGTCTCTCTCTCGTCCGTTCGCTACGCCCGGGCTGAGAGTGTGTTGGTATGCACTCTCATGCCTGGTTTTTCTCTGTTTGAGGTGCGGCGAGCGGGCGTTGGCGGAGCTGGATGCGGCCGACGAGCTGGCGATCCGTTGCCAGGATCGTCATGCGGGGGAGCGAGCGGAATGGGGAGAGCGCGGCCGAGGGGGGAAATCGGCAGTTTCGTTTGGGCTGGCCGATCGCGTGCGCGCGTTTGTTTTTCGTTTGTCGCCGTTTCGGATCTTCCGTTGGTTTTTGGAAGCGGTGCGGTGCTTCGCCACGTTTTCTTTTGTTTTGTGGATGCGCACCCGGTGTGTGGGCGCGCATCAGTGGTTCATTTTTTTTTGTTGTGATTGAGGAGTGAGTGGCTGGGTCGCGCCCAGCCAAGCCTTGCCGCCCAGCACCGGTGTGCGTGGGTAAGGGCGAAGCCCGTACCGCCGGCGCGCGCGTGTTCGGCGAGCGAATCCGGCGAGCGGCTGAGCAACGGGACCAGCAGCAACCGCAGCAGCAGCAACAGTAACAGCAACAACATCAGCAGCAGCAGCAGCAGCAAGCCGCATCCGTTGACCGGGAGCGGCCATCTCCACCTGGGGTCGCCGTTGGCAAGGTCGGTGCCGGTTCTCTCTCTCTCTCTCTCTCTCGCTCTCTTGCATGTCCTGGGGTGTTCGCGGGTGCAACGGTGCAGGTCGGGCAGTGATGCCGGCCCCCGTTGCCGGGTTTTGAGTTCGCGGGCGCTTAGGCTTGAGCGGATTATCGGGCAGCGATTGCCGATAATCCGATTAAGCGGATTAGCGTTTTCTTGTATTAGGCCGATTTGCGAGACGGAGTGTGCGTGCTCCGTCTAATTATTAATTTGTGTGTCTTTCTTTATTTTTCATTTATTGTGTCGTATTAATAAATTTGTAATATTAATATATTTGTGTCATATATTATTGCGTTAACCCGTTCGTTTTCCCGATTTTCCTTTAATTCGCGCGCGATTGACACACACGCTCGGTGTGCCATTCAGTCGTGGGAGCATTCGTGCCTCCCGAGCCCTCCTTTGATAAATATTGTGCGGACGGCCGCGAGCAAATATTCTTCAGTGAATAGTCGGCTTATTTAACTCCGTTACATGGCATCCCTTGTGGGGAGGGCGCGACGCGTGCGCGAGTAGGATGATCGCGAATCGGTAGCGGTGACGGAGGATCTGCAGTGAGACCGACAATCGTTGCACCGGTAAGTGCGCGCGCAGCAGTTTTTCCGTTTCGTTTTCGTTTTTTTTTTTTTTTTCTAGGATCGCTGGGCAGCGATCGCGTCGCGTCTGTCGCTCGGTCCCGTTAAGATGCCGCCCCCCGCAGCCGACGCGAATTTGTTTATGCGCCGATTATCTAGGCAGCCGGAGTTACAGCACCTGAGGGCCAGCATCACCAGGGTTCCGCGTGAGGAACTGGTGAGGTATATGCGGACTCAGGGGCTGACCACAGAGGGTGGGCTCCTAATACTTCAGGACCGCGTTTTCCGCGTGTTCTTAGCGAATACGCGATCCGGAGCTGAGGTGCCCCTTTTCCCCTCTGACTTTATGTCGGGGCGCATCCCCGATCCCTCCTCTAGCGAAGCGCGCGACGTAGTGCCGGACCAGAGTTTGCGCGCACGGTTTGAGGATACTCTGGCCCGGAATCCCTTTTTCGCTCGCACGGAAACGGGTGACGTGTCCTTGCTCAGCTCAACGGTCCGGGGGAAGGTGAAGCACTCCCCTCCTGGAGTTGGGCCGGTCTTGAGCGAGGACCAGGGCAACCGTACCCTGCTTGAGGAGGAAGTTCGGAGCGCCTCGACAGGCTCCGACTCCGGTGATACCGCGAGAGAGGCTGCGGTGGCTGCGGCGTTGCCACGGGGCGCCCACCTGGAGCAGGCTGAGGGCCCGGGGGACGTGGCTGCCGGACCCATCCCGGTTCCAGCGGTGCCGGTGCCGCCTCTTGACCCGCTGTTTTTGCAGCAGGTGCTGGCGGCATTACAGGTCTTGGGCTATGGGCCTGCTGGTACGGCCCCGCTGGTGTCCGGGATGCCGACGGTACAGCCCTCCCCGCTGCGGCCCCGGCCCCCGATGGGCCCGGGCGGCCCCGCAGCTGACCCCCAGCGGGGGGAGCGGTTAACGGGTTTGGACTCTCCCAAACGCAGGTGCCCTCGCAAGCTTGCACGCGAGTGGCGACAGCACTTCGCCGCCTCGAGTGGATTCGAGGAGGAGCGACGACCTGTCCTGACGAGGCCCCCGCTGCTGCTGTCCTCAACGTCAGACTCGCCTAGTGAGGCGAGCAAGGCGCATTTGAGGCCCAGGAGACGGCCGCGCAGAGGGCGGCACAGCCGGGAAGCCACGAGTCCCTCCGAATCCGAGCCCTCCATCGCTGGAAGTTCTTCCAGCGATGACGTGAGCGCGTGCCACCGGCGACGCCATCACCGGTGTCGTCGGGGGTGCGTACGTTCGGGCCATCGAGGCGCGCGCAGGGAGAGGTCGCGCGGCCGTTTGAATGGCAGGCCCGCCGATGCGATTTCGGCGTTTAGGGCCTGGAACGTGCGGTTCAACGGCGCCGCGGGATCGGGTGCAGAACGCTTCCTGGAGAAGTTGAAGCGCTGCGTGAGGTTATATAACCTCCCCGATTGTGAGGTGCTCCCGGCCCTGGATGCGATCTTCTCCGATCGCGCGGAGGTTTGGTTGGCGAACAACCTTGGAGGGTGGCGCACCTTCCACGATTTTGCGGTTGATTTCCGCCACCAGTACTGCCGGACGTTGGACCGTGAGGAGCTCTACTGTGAGCTGAGCCGCCGGATGCAGGGTGAGGATGAGTCGATCGCTGACTACCTCACCGCATTCCAGAGTATCGTGCGGCGGATGCGGCCTCCTCCGTCCGACAGACGGCAAGTGCGATTGGCGATGGCCGGGTTGAACCCGGAGTATGGGCGCTACCTCCGAGATAGACCCGTACACGACCTCCGCGATCTCCGTTATTATGGAGACAGGTTGGAGAGGCACCAGGATCGCGAGAGGAGATGGCACCCACCTTCTGCCAAGGATAACTTGCTGGTGGAGGATGCTGCGTACCGAGGGAAGGCGAGGAAGACCCACGTTGCAGAGATTGCCGTCGAGGTCTCCCAAACCTCCAAGGAGCAGCCGGCCAGCAAGCCGAAGCAGAAGAAGAAGAAGAGCAAGGGTGCCAAGTCCTCGGGAGCACCGGTTTCGGGGCGTTCGTCGTGTGGCGGTTCGGGGGCTGAGGGGTGCATGGCGAGTGCAGTGATGCACTCAGCACCCGGGCGTTATCCCAACGCCCAGGCCCAAGGGAAGGTTGCCGGTGGGGGCACGAATCCGCGAGCAGCGCCGTCCCTGCAGGCTCCAGCGCGAGCTGTAGTCCTGCAGCAGGGACAAGGTGGCGCAAGTTCTGGAGGCGGCCAGGGTCCATCCCCGTTTCGAGGTCGTTGTTTTGGTTGCAACGGGGAGGGACATAGACGGTCACAGTGCCCGCATAATACTGGCCGCCAGAACGACCAGGCTCGCGGAGCACCTGTGTGCTACCGATGCAACCGGGTGGGCCATTATGCCCCCAGCTGCCCCTTTGGAGCCCCGGTCGAGTCGTGCCAAAACTGCCAGGCGCCCAACTGCACGTTTCGCACGTGCATCAACTGCGAGCCGATTCGTCGGATGGCGGAAAACAGGCCAGCGGGGAACGGTGGCCCTACGCTCTCCGCCATAACTCGCAGAGGGCAGCCGGCGTGGAGCACAGCGGATGGGACATACGCGTAAGACCCCAAGAAGATCCGGGGCCTGAGACGTATGAATACTGGCGACAACTGAGCCGGCGACTCGAGAGCCGTTGGCAGGTGGCTGACGGAAGCGAGTCCCAGGAAGCGCGAGGTGAGCAGGGGAGCCCAAGGTCGCAACTGTGTGTGAGGCGACTTGCGAGCGAGCAATCGCAGCAAGTTGCCCCCGGTTGTCAGACCTTGCAGGGGTTCTTAGAGCGGACAGGTCAACTGCGTGGACGCGAGGTGCCGGGTACAGAGGCTTCCCCGTGCGTGGGAAACGCGACGAGAGAGCTGAAGGCTTCGTCGGTTCCGGCGGGGGTGGGCGTTGTGAGTGACACAACGGGTTGCCCGGGCGCCTCTGACAACGGAGATCCCGCAGTTGACATGGTAACGGAGAACCGTCCTCTGCTCATATTGCTCATCAATGGCGAGCCTTACAGTGCGCTGTTTGACACCGGAGCGCAAGTGTCAGTGGTAGGCTGCCGAGTCACGCAAGACTTCCAGGCTCAGGTGAGGAAAACTCCGGGAGCAGTAAATGGTTTCTCGGGTACATCAGTCAGTATGGTAGGAAAACTGAGGCTGGTGATCGAGATCGACACTGTGGTCCGGTCCATTGAGGCGTATGCGTGCGAGCAGGGATTGCAGTACGATATGCTCCTTGGACAGGACTTCATCCGTGCGTTTGGTTTCCGTATGGATGCCGAACATAATGCATGGAGTGTCGCAGGTCGGGAGAGTTGGCATGATTTTGCCCAATGGCAAGATGGCCGGGTGTACTTTCCCGACCAACCAGGAAAGCTCCAATTGACCGCGGAGGTAGGAGGACTTTCGGCACTGCAGGAGCCCCAACGACTCCAGGTTGAGACGTTGGTGCGGCGAGTGGTGCCGGAGAGGTCCCCTGCGCAAACGGACCTTATCGAGCACGTCATTGATGTGCAAGGTGCCAGGCCAATTAAGACGCCGATGCGCAGGTACTCTCCGCAGGTCACGGAGTTTATTCGCCAGGAGATTCAGGACTGGTATCAGAAAGGAGTGATACGTCCGTCTCAGAGCGAGTGGTGCAGTGCACCGGTGGTCGTGAAAAAGCACGATGGTAGCTACCGTTTGTGCATCGACCTGAG